TATATGCACAATAAAAACGACATAATTTTAATAAGAATGACTGGAAACATGCATAATTACATTTAAAAATAGGAATAAACCCTAGGAAAAAAATATGACATGTCATAGAAATCCGGGCCCTACTGATAACCTTACCGCCATCTATGAGCCGAGTATTTACGGAAAATGTGGGAATCTCGACGTCTCACAACCCTTTGGGCTTTCAAGGCCTGTTACAGGGATAGATTTACCTATCTTGTATATGTGTGTATATGCCGCGCCATAGTTCAAATGGTTAGTCGCCGGCTTCCCACCGCGGCGGCCCGGGTTCGATCTCGGGTCTGGTCAAGTGGGATTTGTGGTGGACAAAGTGGCTCTGGGGCGGATTTTCTCCGAGTACTTCGGTTTCCCCTGCCAATCTTCATTCCACCAAATTCTCCATCATCATAATCACCCGGGGCAGGCTACAATAGGCCAATCAGTGGCCGACGTGCGGAGTGGACTCTGTTGGAATATGCGCGTTTGTAATAGGTTTTAAACTTATATTTAAATAAGTAAAAGGAATGAGTAGTTAATGCCGGCTTCTTAGCGCTATAGTTTGACTCGAGTCTTGGCCTTCTCCGTTGTAGAGGTTTTCTAGTTCCCTGTTTTGACAGAGGGTCAATACTTTTTTTTTTGGGGAGAGGGGGTTTTCAGTCTGTCTACTAACAAATTAGCATACAAAAAAAAAACGCCCTCAGATATTCATGTCCTGGAATCTAATGAAACCCGCCCAAAACCGCGTAGCTACCGGGGTCGACAAGTTACACGTCTCTGCTGTGTAATATCTTTGCGAATAATAGATTTGTCTGCGGTACATGCAAATCAAGACGAATACGGAAAGTAAAATTGCAAGTAGCGTGTACAGAGACGTTTTGGAATACAAGTTTTCACTCCGTATCCCCGCAGCTAGTTATTAGCCTTGCATGCTTGCACTGGACCCAGGGCTCACTTGCACCCCTACACTGCTGAGGCCCGGGGCGATTGCAGGTCATCCGTAAGTTGCTGCGCAGTTCTGCACCCTGCGAATAAAGTTAGCAAAACACTCGTAAAAAGTTATCGCTCTTTGGGGGCACGAGGAAACTGCAAAGTCGGTATCATCTTTCCGCGAATTTTTCTACATATTTCTGCAGCTTGGACGGAATTGTAACTAACAATATTCTGTTCTTCAGCATAATCCCTATTTAGCACTTCTGCTTTGTATCCTGGAGCATAGTAGCTCGAAACTCGGCTCAAAGACTGGCCATTTTGTCTGCGGTCTATCATCCTCTTCAATCAAGTTCTGGTCCAGTACCGTAGAATAAAACGCGGAAGTTTTCGTCCACACACTTTCCAACTCATCAGTCGGTAGAGCGACGGGCTACAGGCTGGACAGCTGGGGTTCGATTCCTGGCAAGGGCAAGAGATTTTTTATTCTTCACAGCGTGCAGACCAGCTCTGGATCCCATCCAGCCTCCCATGAAATGGGTAACGGGACCTACCCTGGGTGTAAAGCGGCTGTTGCATGCAGCTGACCACTCACCTCCATGTAGTGCTGACGTCAGGAATTGTGTAGATATACCTCTGCTCCCCCCTACATCTTCATGGCATAGTGGTGTTTGATTTATTAAGCACAGGGATAACCTTTATTCGGTGTAATATCTGTACTGTTGATCTGCTGTCTCGTTGGAAGATGCGATTATTTTTGTATTGTTATTAGCTCTCTGAGTTATACCTTCTGTGTTTTTATCTGCATTAAACTAACGCCACTTCCAGTGGGAGAAGAAGATATTGAAGTGCTCATGTGAAAAATGCAGGATCTGCTGTCGCTCACGTTCATTTATGTTAAATGGGAGCAGAAGTTACAATTTACAAGTTACGTGGGAGTAAGGGGGCTCTGGAGTAAGCTGCCGTCTGGTGCACTGCTGCCATATCTGAAACTAAGTATCGATTAAGGTTTGATGATTTGTAAACAGAAAATGTTCTGGATTTTCATAGATCCTTCATTATTAAATATACAGAACTTTCCCAGGCTTCATATCGAACGAATTTGTTTTACGTATAAGTGGAGAAACCCTATCGATCGTAGATTGGAGTATATTAGAATTTCCATACTACTACTACTACTACTACTACTATGCTGCAGCTAGTGTCAAGGTCAAGAAAACGTGGATCTATACATCCACTCTGCCATATGCCTTCATTGCATAGTGCTTAATTAGTTTTTTTAATGCTAGTGGGGCGGGACTAAGTCTCTTGCACTGCAGCCACTTCTGGCCTATTGTACCAGCCCCAGATGATAGATAAGGGTGATTGTGGAGCAATTGGTGGAATGAGGATTGGCAGAGGAAACCGAAGTACTCGGAGAAAACCTGCCCCAGTGCCACTTTGTCCACCACAAACCCCGCTTAACCAGACCCGGGATCGAACCCGGGCCCCCGCGATGGAAAGCCAGCGGCTAACTGCTTGAGCTGTGGTGCGACCTGCTTAATTAGTTAATCACATGGACAACTTTTCCTTTGCCTTTATTATTATTAATTATAATTAATTTGTATTATCGGGGTCTGGCTGTTGAGCTCGGCACTTATGTAAATTATTATTATTATTATTATTATTATTATTATTATTATTATTATTATTATTATGATTATTATCAACAGCAGTACTGTGCTAAACGCAATACTCCTCTTGACAAGTTTCAAATCAGAATTGAGTCTGGAAGATAAAAACCTTTTAAGGCCTTTTTAGGACTCCTTGGGTTAGGAGCGCCCCATCACTGAGCCTCTGCTTAGACAGAAGAGCGCAAAAAGAACACGTACATAGGCCTTATATGCATTCATGTCACGAGCGGGATTCCAAGCTCACATCCCAGTGTTCGATGTGTCCCGGAGCTGGGGCTGAAGACCGCATGGCCATTGTGGCCGAGTTTCCTTTTTTGGTACAATTTTACATCCTTTGTTCTTCTCTTAGGAGCATTCCCCATTGACACTCGGTGTAATCGCAGTTAGTTAAAGAAAACATACGTTAATCTACTTCCCATGTATGGTTTCAGTTGAGTATTATTCTTCTTCTATTGCCGTTACTCCCACTTGGAGCAGAGGGCATCCGTG